AGAGAGAGAGAGAGAGAGAGAGAGAGAGAGAGAGAATATCTCCTGCCACCTCAGTTGACCTGGAACTCACTAGATAGAGAGATCTGCCTGGCTCTACCTCCCCAGTGCTATGGCTAAAGATGTGTGCCACCATGCCCAGCTGAAAATATTTTTAATCTAATCCCATTATAAGCTAGATTTCTTAAAAGTTCTCACTTAGAAGTGATTTATCCATTTTCTCAGCTATGCTTAATGCTTTTCATATTTGTTACCAAGTTTAAAGTGGAAAGTAAAAAAAAAAATAGAGAGAGCTTTAAAAATTTTTATTACTTTTGTTTTATGTGTACGCGTGTATTGCCTGCATGTGTCTAAGTGCACCTATGTCATGCAGTGCCCGTGGAGGTCAAAAGAGGGCATCATATCAGGGCAGTTGCTAGCTGCCATGTAGGTGCTGGGATTGGTCCTGGGTCTTCTGCAAGAGCAGCCAGTGCCCTTAACTGCTGGACCATCTCTCCAGCCCAAATTTATAGTTTGTTGGAAAATATTGTATTTCAGAGAATAATGAAATATATGTGTGGGCAAGAGACCACATTGTTTTCTGAAGTGTGAATATAAATGAGTAGTTAAACTATATTTCGTGTCCTCAAAGATTTATAAAATATCTGTTAAGAAATATTTTTCCTCAATTGCATAATAGAGATATTTAAAATAGTCTATCTCAGTGGGTTTTGCACACACCCAAAGATAACCTAGTAAATTATGTATCCTTGCACATACCTGAAGATAGAAGTAAATTATGATGGAAGAGCTTAAAATGGCATTCAGTTTAAATACAATTTTAAAATTCAGTTCTGAGTCTCTGTCTCATAGAGAAATGTCAGCTGTCTAGCCATTCATTACTCTCTGTAGTAGACAGTTAAGTGTTCTCCGTGGAACTGAGGGCGCTGTCCACAAGTCTTTCCGCTGTTATTCCTTAGCTTTTGGTGCTGTGCCTACCATTCGACTGTGAGTTACTTTCAGTCATAGATCCATTCCTCTCTACATGATGCTTAGCTGCTTGCAGGGAACTCATTTATACTTCACAGTAGCCTTATAATGTAGTCTATGTTTTATCGATGAGGAAATTGAAATTCCAAAATTATAGATCATAGCCCAGTTCACAATAGAAGAGTCAAGAGATGAACCCAGGTAACCTGATATCAAAGTCTGTGCTGTCACTTTGCTATACCACCTGTTTGTGTCTGCTCTTCAGTCCCTAACATTTTTGTATCAGAGACAATGTTTATCACATAGACACAGGCAAGCATAACAATGACTTATTACTGTCTCTAGTAAAATTTTTTTGCTATCTCCTATCTGTAATCTGGGTGAACTAATTTTGAAGGCAAGACCATTGCAAAAATGTTAGACACGTTTGTTTCTGTGTACATATGCACTGTACAAACACATGCATAGTCTACTTCTGCGGTCTTCATTGGCTTGGATTCTAAATGTGAACAACCTACAGTTATAAGAGTCAAAGCTTTGTAAATCATGTTGACCAATTATACCCTTCTCTTTAAAACTCTTGAATAATCCTTCATAATATTCAAAAGCATTTTCCCCATTTGTTAAATAATTATGAGCATATGAATTAATCTTAAAGTTCTATATGAATACAAAACTCTAAATCAAAAGGGGGAAGGGCAAAGGGAAGTATTTAAAAGGAATTCCTCAAGGACTCACTTCTTATCTGTTCCTCACAATTGGCAGAATGAATCCATTGGATAAGAATCCGTTAATAGTGCCTGGTTGGTGGTGCATGCTTTAATCCCAGCACTTGGGAGGCAGAGGCAGGCGGATCTTTGTGTGTTCAAAGCCAGCTGGGGATACAGGGAAGCCCTGTTTCAAAAAGACCAAAAACAATAATCAAAGTTATCCTTAATCCTAGTATTCCTGAATTCAGTTAGACCTTACCATTTTTAATGGTGATCAGTAGGTGAACTAATAGTGTACTTGACCTAGAATCTTTCTTTTTTTAATGTATATTTTTATTGAGCTTTTGTGCATTTCATATAATACATCTTAATCAAATTTAGACCCCATCCCCCATCCATGTCCCCACAGCCTCTCCCCACTGGATTTCAGGCATTCTGTCATAGATGTTAAGTCCTACCTGGTCAAGCATTTGTACCCAGATGTCCCTCAGTACAAGTTCATCCACTGGAGTCTAGTCAGCCTATCTAGATTCACTGTCTTGAAGATCTGTTCTCTCTCAGTCCATAGCAATCAGTTGCCAATAGTTCCTTGGCTAAGGTTGGGACCTGCCACCCATTTCCCAAGTTCTATACTGGGTTTTTGTCTGATGAGTCAGCATGAGTCTTATGCATGTTGACATCATTGCTGCAAGATCATATGTGAGTTCCTAGAGGCCTGAAAGCTCCTTTTTCTTTATGTTCATGCACCAACCCTGGCTCTTGTAATCTTTCCACCCCCTCTTCCACAATGCTTCTTGAGTCATGGGTAGATAAAGTTTAATATATCAGTCCTATCCATGCTAGAATCTTTTTAACCTCACAAATATGTTAATTAAAAATATGTCATAGCCTTCCGTTTCCTTACCTTATTTTTTATTTAACTCTCTTTGCCACCACCATACTAACTATTTTCCAGACCTTCCCACATCCCCCAACACATCAGTACCTAAAACGTGTCTGCCAAACCTCCTCTGTTTGCATTATTAAGCCTTCAGTACTGACAGATAATATAGTGTGGGAACTCAACCTCACTAGTTGAATTTCAAATCAGTACTGGCATCTACACTGTCTATTCATTAGGATACAAATCATCCCAGAGTTTTGTTTGTTTATGCCTGTTTCGTTGTCAGAAAAGTCACAGTAGAGATGATATGACTCCTAGTGATTGCTGGAATTTGCTCATCTATCTTCTTTTTAAAAAATATTTTATTATTTTTATTTTATTTATGTGTCTGTGTGTATTACCTGCATGTGTGTAAGTGCACCCATGTCATGCAGTGCCCATAGAAGTCAGAAGAGGGTGTCGGATCCTCTGGAACTGGAATTACTGATGGTTGTTAGCCACAATGTGAGTGCTGGGAACAGAACCCATGTCCTCTGCAAGAGCAGCCAGTGCTCTTAACTACTGAACCATCTTTCCAGCCCTCATGTAACTTCTCGATAGTTATCCATTGTGAGCAATCACTTCCATAATCAATTCCAGAGTTAGTATTTCCTAACTATTTAGATCCATATTCTAGAGTCAACTGTCTAGTAAATCCCCATTTTCTGCATTATTTTCTCTTTTTTTGGTCTTTTTTCTAATCAGCATCTTCTATTAATATTTTACTAGTGTTACAATAGTGAAATAAGAAATTTAAAATCTATCCTAAGTATTTAATTTTTATTTTGTTCATTATATTAATTGATGACTGAATTCCCAACTAAAATTTTTATGTACATTTCATATAATTTGAGTTGATCACTATGTAATATGTATGATATATTTGTAACATTTGTGTACTTTGTAGCCATTTATTATATATATATATATATATATCATATCTGAAGTGTCTAAATTTTCATGGCTTAGACTTTAAGAAGTTTTCTTTATAAGAAAACCTCTTTGTCCTTTTGAACTCTTTTTTTCCCCATGTACTTGGCTTAGTGACAACAGTGAGGTATCGTGGAATAACTTTTTCTGTCTTTAAATTCAGAATCCAAAGAATTTTTGTTTTAATGGAAGACAATATTAACAATAACTCTTGTCTCCAGAAATTCATAGTAGACACTGCCACATAATCACTGTGTATGAAAATGCATATGGTCTTTTTGTTTAGTTAAACTTTGGCTATATTTAAGTTTTTATTTTTCTCTAAGAATTTAATAATTTCCTCTTTGGAATATCATGCACTGTTACATTTTAATTCTGCCCTCAAATTTTAGATTTGTTATGTGCAAGATACCACAGAGAACATGAAATGGTATGTTTCTCCTGTGGCATCCACCTAGTCATTGCAAGGGGAAGCCCAGTTCTTGACATGTCTTCTCTTTCATCCATGAATGACTTTGATCCTACTAGTCAAAAGGTCTTACAGATTTTTTTTCTTTTTTTAAAAAAATATTTATTTCTATTTTATGTGTATGTTTTGTGTCCATGTTTGTATGTGTACCATGTGCATGCAGTGCCCATGGAGGCCAGGAGAGGGCATAAGATTTCCCCTGGAACTGAAGTTATAGACAGTTGTAAGCTGCCATATAGATACTGTAAACTGAACTCAGGTCTTCTTCAAAAACTGTAAGTGCTCTTAACTGGTGCGCCATCTCTCTAGCCCCCAGATTTTATTCTTTTTTTGTTTATTTTTTGAGACAGGCTCTCCCTATAGCCCTATCTGGCCTGGAACTCACTATGTAGACGAGTCTGCTCTCGATCATGCAGAAATCCTCTTGTTTCTGTCTCCCAACTGGTGGGATTAAGGCATGTACCACCATGCCAGCCTCCCAGATTTTATTCTTAAATATACATTTAATTTATTTCCATAGGCACTACTTTAATTCAAGCATTTATCATTTAGTTGCTGAACAATT